TCTCTAAACTGAACCAAAGCAACTCAATCACCAAAACAAAGACCAGGAAAAAAGAATCTGGTGGGGTTTTGTCCAGGTTTTGAGCTAAATCCCCTCCCTGTGGGATTGGGAGACTGTCAGCCCCAAGGAAAGCAGGAAAGGGAGCACAAGCGCCCGTGGACAGTTTTTAGGTCAGCTCCACTTACAGGGCCCCTATGGGATCAAAAGGAGAATTGGGTGAGGATCCCAAYCTTTGTAGGATGGAGACACCCAATGCCCCAACCAGCGCAGGCTGCAAAATTGCAAAAATTGCAAAAAATTGCAAAAATTGCAGATTTGAGTTGCACAAATCTGAGCAATGCCCATGTGATGGTGGTGCCTGTGGGCTCAGGAGTGCCTGTTCCTCCTCAGTCTGCCCTTCCATCCTGTGCTGACCGCGCTGCCCTGAGCATCACCCCCGCTCCAGGGAGCACAAACTGACTCCTGTCACCACATTCCCCAAAGCCACCCCATGGCACAGCTTCCAGGGACTCATTCCCACACCGTTTTACCCCACTCTTTGCTTTTAATGCCTTCTCCAGMGCCATGAGCACAACAGTGGCTCCAGGCCAGGAAGGGAAAAGTCTCCACCAACACAGCCCTGCTTCCACAGGGATTTTTCTTCCCTGGGATTCAGTTTTGGGAAAGGTTTTCCTCCGGTGTTAATTGGTTGCTGAACGAACCCACAGAGCCAGGTTTACATTGGCTGAGGTTCCAGCTTTCCTTTGTGCTCCTACAAGAGTCAACAAGACCAGAAAATACCTTCAAGCTCCTGGGAGTACAAAAACCACTCAAGACCGTAGCGAGGAGTTTCCTAAAGYGAAGGGTAAATTGCTGACACTGAATCGGGAAGGTGTAAACATATTTTTTTTCTTTTTTTTTTTCCTTTCACCTCTGCTCAATGCCAAAGCGTGATGAAGTTTTTCCTCTGCTTGGGATGAAGAACAAAAAAAAAAACAACTAAAAAATGAAAAACAGGACCATGGTAAAATCTGAAGGATTCCAGGCTGAGGACACCGGTGGCGTCCTTCCCGAAGCATCCACAAAAACACCTGGAGTCCCTAAATTGGAGTGGTCTTGTATGGAGCAGGGATATTCCATAATTGATTCAGAAATTAAAGTCACAATGTTCAAAGAATTTCAGCTTCACCACCTAAAAAATTTTTCAATATTTTCTCCTGACAATGAATTTTTGCAGATTGGGCCGTACCCACTCGGGAGACTCGCAGTGGAACAAGCCCAGGGAGCGGTTCCATCTGGGAAGAGGCACCTTTATCTCGGTATCAAGGGCAAGATGATGGATCTGCAGGCTCCAGAAATAGTTACAAAGCCAGGAACGGAAGAACGGGCCACAAGCAAATGTGAGTGGGAAGGGAAATTCAGATTAGATTCTGGAAGACAATGCGAGCCTGAACCAAGAACGGACTTCTCGTGGGGAGGTGGCAGTGAGAAAACATTTGTCTCGTGGGGAGTTGGACATTCTTCACTGTCATGCCCAAGCTGCAGGAAGGAAAAAAAAATTCCTTTGGTTTCTGCTCTGTTCTACAGCCTGGGAAAATGTTTGGACATGACACGGACCAGAGAAAAATCAGATGGTGTGTCCAGGGCCTCAGTTCCCAAGGTGCAGAACGGGAAAGTTCTGCTTTCCTTSTGCATGGAGAAAGAATGGAGATGACAGAGGTGCAGCAGAATCAGGGATTGTGCCAGGAAATCCCTGTCAGAATGAAGTGCAGCCACTCGGGATCCTCCTCCTCCTGTCACTCTGAAAATCAGCTGCACATTTGGGACACAGCTCTCTCTGACAGCCAACAGCTGCTGCAAAGGAGGTTCCCTGACAGGCAGCTCCATAAAAATCCCCTTCAGCCATCCACGTGGATTTGTCTGCCCTTCCAAAGCCACCTGAGCTGAGAAAATGATTGATAAACACATACTTGGCTTGTTTAGTGAAAAAAAAAATTAAAGAACAAAAGGAAATGTTTTATTTTGATTTTAGTTACGTACAGCCAGTGAAGAGATTTCCCAAAGGACGGTTTGGGCAAATCAGAGCTGCCAGGTGGGTTGGGATCAAAAGCAGGTAACAGCTCTGGTGAGCCAGGCCAGAAGAGTCCCAGGGAAAAACCTGAACTTGCAGCTGCCACCCGAGGACCATTTSTTAGAATGAATTTTTATTCTTGCTTCTTTTAGAGCAATACATCACCAACAATGGAATGTCTGGAGTCTGAGGGAGCTCAGAACCTGCTTCGCCCTCTGATGTTYCCCATCCTAAACCAGATGGAAGGATACAGAATGTACCATTCAAAAAAATTATATYAAAGAGATAGAAATGCTACAGCCTTGACTAATTCTTGTCAAGTAATTATTTGGAAGTTTTCCRTATTTTAAGTAGGGACAAATGGAAATACAGGTAATAAGATTTGTTTGATATTTTAACTTAATTAGGCTTTCTAGATTTTACTTTGTGGGGGGATGAGTAAGGAAATAAGCAATTAGCAGTGAAAAGGAAAAGGCAGTTGTAAGAACTGGACAGAAAAAATGTTTACCCTTAAGAGGGGTAATGATATTTCAATCAACGGGCTAAATATAAAAGAGCAGCAAGAAAAATGAACTAGGCAAACCAGAAAGATCAYCAGGGCTGGAAAAGTAAATACACTGAATTTCTATATTTAGGGAGCTGACATTTTTGCTCCTGAACAGATGGCACAGGCTGCTGCTGCTTCAAAGATGTTGCTGGTGACACTTTGCTCGGCAGAGCTGTGCCCACAGGCCTGGGCATCCCCCTGCAGCTTCAGGGGGCAAACAGATTTTTTAAAAGGCATTAAAAAAGGGCAAAATCTCAGCTTGCTGCCCTTCCAAGAAAGTTTTGATGCTGATTTCCAGAGCAGGTGAAAGGGGGCAGGAACTCAGATGTGAAGAGCCAGGGTTTGTGTGGGTTCCCTGCAGGTTTGGGGCTGCCCCTGTGCCCCATTCCTGCTTTGATCCCGGCTGCACTGCCCTGGGAATGCCTGGACCMACTCCCAGCCCTTCCCTCCTTCCCCACCGGACTCCACACCTCCCTCTCAGACCACGGGAGAGTCAAACTTTCCAAGGAGAGCTCCAGAGCGTTCCGGGGCACACAGAGGGCACCTCCACACCCACACACGTTCTCTCGGAGAGCACGGAGCACCACCCTGGACTGCACCCCTGCCCCTCACACTGCTGATCTCCCTTCTCCAGCCCCACAGMTGGGCACAGCTGGGCTGATCCAGCATCCCAATCCTGCAGAAACTCCAGCAGAAATCCCAGCAGAACATTCTCAAGCCCTGTCACCTCCACTCCCAGCATCTCCTCCAAAAGCTCTGCCCTTCCCTTCATCACCTCCTCACTGGTCAGCAGCAGAATATTTGGGGAGAACATCTCTGGTTTGAGCAGGTGTGGGACACACCAGCCCCATGCTGGCTCTTCCTCAACATTGCTCAATAAACATTTAATTGCTTCAATCTACACTGTTTTCAATCTTTCTCCTAAATTTGGTCACTTCACCCATTAAATCCAGGCAATCAATTAAATTCTCATCCAGGCAAAAGCGCACACACTTTTCTTTTACAACACTCCCTCATTCTTCACCCCAGCATCTTCCAGAGTCAGTGAATTCCGTGGCCCAATTATGCACTGTACGAAAATAATCTTTGCATCTCTTTGGCAACTTTGAGTTTAACTCGACGTCCCTGTTCCTGTGCCACAACACAGCAAAAGGAGCTCTGTGTTCTCTGTGTGTTATTTTTTTTTCCCCTCCTCTCCTASTCATCTCTTTTTCCAGGTAACAACCCAAATCCTCTCAATCTTTTGCCCCAAACTCCTTTTTCCCAAGCTCCCGAGGTTGTCCTGCCATGCAGGATTCAGAGCCAGGCTAAAACCAGGACAAAGTTTTCCTCGTCTAAACACAGCCAGGAGCCCTGGGAAGGGCAGGAGCAGAGCCCCAGCTCCAGGAGGATCCCTTCACACCCCTGTGCCCAAATGAAAGCTCCACCCTTTCTCCCCTCCTAAAAAAGGGCGCAGCTTCCTCCTCCAAACAGGTATTCCCCGGGTTTTTATCCCGTTCCGCACAACTTTCACTTTCCCGCTGAAAACCCTGAAAACCTTTTTCTCCCCTCTTCCCCTGAGACCAGACACATCGGAAAGCTGCAAAACCCCCAAAGGAGTTAAATCAACCTTACCCCGCCTCTGAACTTCATTTTTGCCTCCTTCCAGCTCCCGCAGAGCCCTCGCCGAACCTTCCTTTACGCTGCTGCAAAAAGCAGCAATCTGAGGACAAGTTCTCTCTTCTGTCAGGTTTTTYTTTTKKTWWTTTTYYTTTTTTTCATGGCATTTTCAGCGCAGTCAGAACTCCCTCCCTCCCACCGGCTCCTACTGGAGCATCTGGAGAGGGCGTTTTCCCAAGGAGAAGGAGAACTCCCCTCCCAGCCCAGCAGAGGCAGTCCCAGGGAAACCAGCTGTGCTCTGCCTGCGGAGTTCCCGCTGCCCAATGACGGGGARAAACGGAAAGAAAAATAATCCCAGGCGCTGGAAAAGCTGGGGCCGAGCCCAGCGCACAAAGCACAGCCGTCAGACGGGAAGGGGATGTGTTTTGGGGTGGTAAATTATTGTCCTGGGACAGCAGCAGGGACAGGGATCCCCAAAGGCACTCCCAGATCACCCCAAGAACAGCAAAACCTCACACCTGGAATCAACCCCTCCCTCAGAAAATCGAAGGATCGGGAGGAGTCCAGGATTGGATGAAGTCTGCTTTTACAAGGATTTCGAATGACAGAATGGTTTGGGTTGGAAGGGACCTTAAATTCCCCCAATTTCCAGTTTCACCAGACYRGGTTGCTCCGAGCCCTGTCCAACCTGGCTCAGAAGAGTTTTATTCCAGATTTATTTGGGGGCATCCAGCACCAAAACATCCACTTTCCAAGGAAGTTCTGAGGTCCTCCTTGGATGTTCTGAGGTTCTCCTTGTATGTTCTGAGGTCCTCCTTACAAAATCACCTGTACTATAAAATCAGATCCTTCCAGAGRACACGGTGAAGGCACCGCTGCCCTCATTCCCCAACCCTCACAAACAGAAATTGAACATTTTGCTGCCTCTGAGCTCATCGGTGCCTGGTCTCACACAGAATTATTTATGGCTACAACAAGAGGGTGAAAACCCCACCTTGTTTCCCAGCCACCTCCCTGAGAAAGGGCATTCTGACAAAAATACTGTACAGCCTTCAGCAGCATTAGGGGGAAAGCGAACGAGCAACAGACAATGGACAGGAGCTGGAAGAAGGGAAATTCCAGTGAGTTATTGGGAAATTTTTTTCCCACTCAGTGCTGTCAAATAATGGAACAGGGGGCCCAAAAATTGTGAAACTCCATCCTTGGAGATATTTAAAACTCAACCAGGCAAGTTGAGTGACCTGATCTAAATCAGTCCTGCCTGGAAGTGAGGTTGGACGAGAGATCTCCACAAATTCTTTCCAATCTCACATTATTCTACATTTCTATGAATTATTTTGTTCCTCAATGGCCTAAGCTGTGCGCACATCCTAAAAGGAGTTGCAGATGGAGAAAATAAAAATACAGATCTGTTACAGAGGGCACCACCCCTCAGGTATCTCAGATAATTCACATTATGGGCTGTCAGGAAGATTCTCTTGTTCTCAAGAAGATTCTCATGTTCATTCCATTGAACATGCAGAGCCATGGAATGATTCCCAAGTTCAGCTGCTGACGTTTCATGATGGGCACTATCTGCACTCAGCTCTGCTCAAAGGGTTTGGTTATTTTCCCTTCTTATCAAAATGCATCCTTTGCAAATTCTGTTACAGGAAGGGCAAAGTCAAGCTCTGAGGTAAAAAAGATTTAGAGCAAAAATCAAAAAAGCTTCAGAGGAGGCTGTTTAAAAGCAAACACCCGCAGCAGATGCTGGCAGTGCTCCCCTCTAATTAGCCCTGGCCCAAGGCAGCGATCCCAGCTTCCATGGATGTCACTGGATGTGCCAAGGATTTGAGATGGAGCATGGCTGCAGTGCCACCAGCTCTCTGCCCTCTCAGACTCCATTTTGAACATTATTTGTGGATCTTGCACAGYTCTGTTTGTTGGGGCTTTAATTCACCTCTTATCTCAGCCGGGTGAATTTTGAAGGGCAGCCTCCTCAGAGGAGCTCTGGGCTGTCCCTGAAGGAGGTGACACTGCTCCAGGCCCCTCTCCTGTGCCCAGGTGAGCTCAAAGGTGACACAAACCCCATTTCCCAAAGTGAGCCCCATCAGCCATTCCTGAACCACAACAGTGAGCCCTGGGCCAGGAGTTTTCCAAGCACAATTAAAGCTGTAACCTGGCAGCTCCAATTCTCCAGGAGGAGAATGCTGGTGCTCCACCAGCCCTCCTCAAATCACTCTGATTGTAACCAAACGGATTCAGCAAAACTGCTGTGAGAATTTTAAGTATTAGAAGAGTTATTTCCAYGTAAACATCCTCACCTTTCCCCTGGTTTACACCTCCTAAGCTTCTCAGATCACATCTCATCACTGAAAATGCCACATAAGAGAAGAATACACAACAGCTCAGCACTCAGAAGTACATTTTTCACACATTTCCTTTGGGTTTTTTTCATGCAGGAGAACCCTTTTATTTATTTATTCACTGCAAAGACCTTTACTCAAAACGTGCTTTTTTTCTGCAGCTTTTTTTCCTTTTTTTTTTTTTTTTGCTGGTGAGAAAAACACTCCTGCATGTGGGTTTGCCTAAATTAGGAGGGGGAAATAAAGTAGGAAAGGAGAGATAATTTTACTTTAAAAGATCTCAATCCTGGATGATGAAGCTGATAAAACCAGACGGTTCCTTTCCAGCAGCAGAGCCCAGCCCTTGTCTGTGTTTTCTGCTGAGGATGGCTGGCAAGGTTTGGCTCCCTGCAACAGGCAACTACAGGCAAAGGGATGAATCAAGTTTTCCAGGCCTCACCAGTTTGAAGTGACTCATTTAAACCCTGGATTAGAGCTCTGGGATTGCTCTGCTGGTTGCTGATAAGCAGCTGATTCCCTGCATACAATTCCACATTCAAAGCAAGGGGACTGGAAACCTTTCCTGTCAGCCCTGCTCCGACAGGCTCGCAGAGCCCCAGCGTGACACACAAAATTACACCCGCCAGCGGTGGCTCTGCTGAAAAAAAAAACCAAAAAACAAAGTTTGGCCACGTGAAAATACCCTCAGCAAAGCAATCTTCCCCTCTGCTGTGCAGGTCTCATGGAAAAAATATAAATCTGGAGGTAYGAGATGCTGCCTTGGGTTTATGCTGGTGAAAAATCAGCGTGGGTCAYGTTTATGTTGTTGCAAAAGGTGTCAAGTTCAGCTATCAGCACGTGTCTTCTTTCTGGATTTTTGCAATATTGGTTATTTCTGCCTTGCAAAAGAACTGCAGAATAACACACATTCCATAATTAGAAAGCACTTGGCAAAAATAYCATGGGAAAGAAACCACCCTAAACAGGCCAGGAATTTGAGAGCCCTTCCTCTCTCAGGTCAGAGGAACGTCTTAATCAAAAAAATAGAAATGTCTTTAACCTGACACATGTGTCCTGCTGTCCAGATTATCCTGATCTGAAACTGATTAAAATGCCTCACATTCCTAAGACGCCCTATAGCAGAAACTGAAGGTTCAGAGAGACAGAATTTAGAGGAAAAAAAACCAACCTGTGTCCAGCAGAGGATAAAAATCTGCAGGSTAATGATAAATCAACACCCTGCCAAAGAGCCAATCTAAATATTGTAATGAGTTTGATCACAAGGCAGAACCTCCTCCCCAYATCATCAATTCTGCTAAGAATTGTCTCTTTTCTCCCCAGTTTTTGTTTGGATTAAAGCATYTCCTCTTCCCCTGGCAAGAGCAGCTCCAGACGGGTGTCAGGAGCAGAAGTTTGAACGAGGACATCGGTCCCTGGAGACACAACATTCCTGCTCAGTTAAGAAACTGCACACCTGGAAAGGTTAAACCAAAAGCTCATTATACTCACTCAAAAGGTGCCTGAAGATGATGGAAGTTCCTTCATTTTACTGCAAACGCCGTGACATCACGAACTGACTGAATTCCCCGATTCTGCGTGAAGGTGTTTGCAGGATTACAGATAAAACCTTAAAAACAGCGAGGTGTGGCCAAACGGTTCAAAAACCAGGAGATGAAGAATATTTAGATGATTCTTTTGGATTCTAATTTATGCTTTGTAATGCCTAAAAACTGTCAATACTGGTTTTGTTTGTTCCGAGAAAGCTTTGTCAGTGAGAACACCGAACTTCTTTTCTTCCCAAGCTCACAAATAAATATGAAAAAAAGGAATATTACAAAAAAATGGGAGATGCACACATTTCCTTGGATTCCTACACTTTCCCTGCCAGTGCTGGTCCCTGTTTTGATGCCCCTGGTGATGGATTAAAAGGCAGATATGACAAGCTYGTCTTTAGTTATGGCTCCCGCACACACACAATAATTCCGGGTCTGTGACGCGAGCGACGACAGAAACTGGGTTAATCTAACAAATTAAGATAAATTTCCCTTGYTGCTGCTTTCTGCTGAACCAGTGAGACAGAAATGGCTGGCTGGCTTTGACAGTGACCATCAGAACAAAGTCCCACTTTATAATTACCAGATGCCCTCAACGTGATGCCAGCTCGTCTAATGCCCGCGGCTGCTCCCGCTCACGGGCCCTGTCAGGGCTTCCCTGATTTCCCAAACACACTCTGATCCCAACAGCAAAATTTAAACCCAACACTTCATTCCCTGTGCTTTCCATGGCCCTGCTTTGGCAGAGTCACTTSCAGCAGCTCCCCTGCAGGGCCGGGGTTCGGAGGGAGCTGGGAACGCAAACAGCCTGACTCAGTTCAGCTGATGTGCATTCCTCCCGACTGACTTTCCAAACAGTCACTCCCAGCGGCAGGAYCTACATCTTCCTTTTAAGGGGAAAAAATGTTTTCACAGGAAAAATTAAGTGTTCAAAGCCTGKGCATATCTCCGTGCTTCCAGTGACCAGTCTCGCCTCTAAAACCACGTTCTTGTTGCAYGCAGAACGAAAACTTCTCCTTCCTCAATTTAAAATTGTTCCTCTTTTTTTAACACAGCCGCTGGCTTTGTGCCCATGCCCAGAACTCTCAGGTGAAATATCCTGGCACGTGATTTTTCACACAATCCAGCACGAAACAGAGAGAAAAACAGAGCATGGAAAACCTTTTGGTTTTCTGAAGGAAGGGCTAAATCTGAGTGAGGAAAATTATGGAAAAAGAATGTACAAGCTGCAGACAAAACTTTACAGCTCACACTGGTG